AGAGGGAATAGAAGCAAATACTGTTGAATGATGATGCACAGAGGAGATTATAATCATTGCAATGAAACAATGAGTATGAAACTGATGTTCTCCCATGTAAACTATCACTCAGTTCACGATAAAAAAAATTTTTAAATGCTACCAAAGGAAATTGCTAATGAGACTCAATATTTTTTTTCTTCAACTTTCTATGTCAACCAAATTGAAACCTCTAGAACATTTGGTCAAACGTTAATGTTAGTAAACAATATAAATTCAGCATAAGCAAACCAGGGAGGACATGTATTCTTTCAAATCATTGTGGGTATATGAGTGCTGGGACGATAAACAGAGTAGAAAAGTGGTGAAGAGGCAACACGGGCACTAATTAGACATGGAAATAGCGAACAAGGGATAAACCTAAAATGCGAAAAAGACATCTTAAATAAAAGTGTGGCTATTGGATGCCAAAAGATCATTGGAAGGGTCTTCTGTTGTTGTTGTTAGGGGCCATCAAGATAGTACCAACTCATAGTGACCCTATGCACAAGAGAACGAAACACTGCCTAGTCCTGCACCAACCTCACAATCATTGCTATGCTTGAGCCTGTTGTTGCTGTCACTGTGCCAATCCATCTCATTGGGGGCCTTCCTCTTTTCCTCTGACCCTCCACTGTACCAAGCATGATGTCCTTCTCCAGGGACTGGTAACTGCTAATACGTCCAGCTTTCCAAGGAGCACTCTGGCTGGCTGTCTTCCATCACAGATTAGTTTGTTCTTTTGGCAATCCATGGTACTTTTAAATATTCTCCTCCAACACCGTAACTCAAATGCATCAGTTCTTCTATGGTCTTCCTTATATGCTGTCCAACTTTCACATGCTTATGAAGTTAATGAAAGCACCATGGCTTGGATCAGGTGCACCGTAGTCCTCAAACTGAAACCTTTGCTCTTAAACACTTTAAAGGGGTGTTGTGCAGCAGATTTGCCTGATGCACTACGTCATTTGATTTCTTGACTGCAGCTTCAATGAGTGTTAATGGTTGATCCAGGAAAAATGAAGTCTTCGACAATTTCAATCTTTTCTCCATTTATAGGGATGTTGTTTATTGGTATAGTGGTGAGGAATTTTGTTTACTTTACATTGAGGTGTAACCCACAACAAAGGCTACGGTCTTTGATCTTCATCAATAAGTATTTTAAGTCCTTTTGGCTTTCAGCAATCAAAGTTGTATCATCTGCATATCTCAGGTTGTTAATAAGTCTTCCTCCAATCCTGATGCCACATTTTTCCTCATAGACCAGCTTCTCAGATTACATGCTCAGCAAACTGACTGAAAGAATACAACCCTTGCATATACCTTTCCTGATTTTAAACCATTTGATGTCCCTTTGTTCTGTTTGAACAACTGCCTCTTGGTCTATGTACAGGTTCCTCATGAGCATAATTAAGTGTTCCAGAATAATCATTCTCTGCAATGTTGGCCATAGCTTGTCATAATCCACAAAATTGAAAGCCTTTGCATAGTCAATAACTCACAGGTAAATATCTTTCTGGTATTCTCTGCTTTCAGCCAGGATCCATCTGACATTAGCAATGATCTCTCTCATTCCACATCCTCTTCTGAATCCAGCTTGAACCTCTGGAAGTTCTCTGTCAATGTATGGTTGCAGCTGTTTTTGTATTATCGTTAGCAAAATTTTACTTGCATGCGATATTAATGATATTGTCCAATAATTTCTGCATTGTGTTTGGATCACCACTCTTTGGAATGGGCACAAATACGGATCTCTTCTGGTGAGCTGGCAGTAATTTGTAAACTTTTTGCTATAATAAAAGTATTAATGCTTTCTTGAGTTCTGTGTCATTCTAGTGAACATCAAATCTGACAGAATAGTGGGAGCCAACAGGTGAGAAGTGACGGAGGTCCTGAGGAACCCCCTGAGCTTATGGATGGCATCCTGAGGAGGAAGAGGGAGGCACCAAATCAGTAGCCAGCATGTCAGAGGTAAACCCTAAGTTTACCAGTGGTGTCTGAGATCTTTGGTAGACTTGGAGGCCTGGAGGACTGTGCCCTTTAACTTTGGACTCTGACCCAGCTCTGGTAGTTACGGTCCAAGAGGAAGTACTGCATTTACAGGTGATGTCAGAACAGAATGGACTGATTCACTTAAAAGCAGAATCCAAAGGAAGGGAAAAGCATATCTGGTGGAAAATCCAAAAAAAGTCAGTGGCCTGTTTTGATGCTTTCCTGTTCCTTCTTTAACTCCACATTAAATTGAGGATGGTACACTATATTTTCAGTCATTCCTAAAAGGGATGCAAAGTCCACAGACAGGTCCATAGAGCTCTGGGCTAGGGAAGAAAAAAAATAAAGAGTCTGTCTTGTTCCTGTTGGCCTCCTATAGCGTTAGGTAAAATTAGGTTCAAATGAATGGCTGCTCTGTGCAGGGGAACAACAGGTTTCAGAGCGATGTCTTTGGGAGGAGGAGAAAGAGAAGAACAGAAGTATTTTACCTCGGTGCATGAGACTACGGGTGGGGGTAGGGAATAGGGCTTACAGATGACCTGAC